CTGCGCGCGCTAAGATTACACCTGTTTCTCAATCTTCGAGGCAGTTATAGTGGTGAACCTTTGTAGAGAGAGAGTACAGGGTAAGCTTTGAAATTCGTTAAAATAGCTGTAGTATGCCAGTGCTAAAAAATATATAGTTGTGTTTTTTAAAGTCGAAACTTAATTCTTTTAAACATTTTAGAGTAGTTGAGCGTTCTCCGTACAACAACGATAATAAAATGATGTATTTGTATGTTTAAAAGTAGTCAAACAAAAAAGTCGAATAAATATTATATCATAATTTGCATATCGTAGTTAAATAGCGTGGTTGTACTGGAGTAAAGTGAATTAAAATAGTTATATTAGTATTTTGTAGAGGCGCGAAGTACTCTTGTGGTTCTTTAAATGTCAACTTAAAAATGTGTTATGCTTTGTTTGTTTTCTGTTTATTTAATACGTAACCATATAATGTGTATTTTGGGTATTCCGTTACATTTGTCTTATGAAAAACGTTGCGTAGCCACCAAATACAAAAGGTGAGCTTTATTGACGAAAATTGAGTTTCCCGTATAGTTTTATTATTTAATGCTCTAATCAATGTGTGATGGAGGATAACCACTCTAATGACTAGAGAAGTATACATTTTTTAATTATTTCGTGGGCGGGTTTTGGAGATTTTGTTTGAAGTATATTTTTAATCATGCTTTAGTTATAAATATATCACGGCAGCCGTAAAACTTAGCTTTTTGTATCTTTAATAGCAGTTTATATTTTGCTTACTATGGCCAAATTTACATAACTTTAACCTCGTCTAACTTGAGACACATTCTGTACTATTGATATAAGTTTTATATATACCATAAAACCTGTTTAGAAGGCATTCTGGTATCTAAGTGTCAAGGTTGAAGCGTGCTCTTCATAGAGCCTCGTATTAACCGAACATTTAATGCGTCAAGGATTAAAAATTAGCTTTAAAAACATATAACTTGAAGTGATTCTAACAATCGTCATTAACAATATTTTTAACTGATAAAGACTATTTATAAAAAATTAGGAACTTAAAAAACTTTAGCTTTTTATTATAGCGCAAATTTTGCTATTACTGCAAACTTTTGACTCTAAACGCTTTTTTTAACTTTTCCAATTTAACCTCTGTTATTACCTTAGTTAATAAAACCTACTTGCTTCCATCTAAGCCTCAGCTGTCGCTTATCTTCTTCCTTCAAGTTTTTTATTAGCCTTATTTTCCCCTTGAGTTTATACAAATATACTTAGCGTTTTAGGGAATTTTTTTTTCAATCTACTACTTGTAATCCAGGTTTATAACACTAGCTCCTTTTTTAGAAGAAGGCGTTTATTAAGTAGCTTAAGTTTTATTAAACCTAGTTTGCTTAAATTTTTTTGAAATTCAAAATATAGTAGGGTCAAGTTGTTGTACAACTTGCAGTTGTCGTAAAAAAAACCATAAATTGTAGAAAAATGTTTTACCTGTAACAAAAGGTGGATTATTTACCATTAGTTACCTTCTTTGTTCGGTAACCTAGTTAAAATTACACATATATCTAAACATACCACGCAGCAATAACCCACTTAAAAATAGCATGTATATAAACGCCTCAAAGGGATTTGTCAGAGAGTATGTTAAGCAAATATTATTATATAGAAATATTATTTTTGTCTCTGCACGTGTCTTTGCACGGGGCCAATATAAACATTATTCCAAGGATCTTAAATTTAACCTAAACAAATATACATAAATGAAAACGCTTTTTAACCTTTTGTAAAGGTATATAAACAGCTTAATTGCCTAAAACAAAGAAATTCCCGTCTTTTTGTTCTCGCCTTCTCAGTTGTTAGTGCTTTTACCCTACACTTAGAATGTTAGCCTAGTTTAAAATATACTGTCACACTATAATTTATTTTTAACGCTGTTAGCCTGTTAAAGAACTTAATCATTAATATTTTGTCGATCAGATTAAGTAACAGAAATAAACGTTGATTGATATTGATGGGCCCCTTCGGGTCAAGAAGCAAAAATGTTTGAAAGAATTCCTCATAGAGAACTTAAAGTTATAAATTTAAGTTTGTGGCTTGATGGAGACCAGAGAAAATTCTTTTTTACAAATTAATTTTAAAAGTTATTGATTACTGTTGAGTTTCTAACTTTAATACTCGGGCACCATATACGTCTAGTTATTTATGGCCTTTCGTTATACATAGATGATATTATTGTTCTTTTTGTAATAAATATATCTAATTTATAAACCTAACCTATTTAATAAAAGCGAGGAGGTTGTATGCTTGTTATCTCTCGCTGGAGTCTCTTGCTAATTTGTTATATTATGTTTATAAAATAGCATATGAAACATTTGATTATATATACTCTAGTGCACTGTGAGAGGGTAATAGCGGGAACAGAATTCATGTTATATAAGAAAAAGAGTTAATTTTATTTAATTATTTAAGTAAATTTGCAAATGTGTAATACCTCATAAAACGAACCTGCTTAATCTTAGCGATATTAAATAGATAAAAATGACTTGAACTTGCATAGGGAAATCCATTTCCAAACCGGTGAAAAATGGATCGCTGAGGATATTAAACACCCAATTTCTGTAGGTACTCACTCGAGTTACTTCACGATCGCAGTATTTGGTACTCGGAGTAATCACTTTTTTTTTTGTTAAAAAAAAAAAGTATAACCCGCCAAAGTGGGTCTACAAAATTTTTTTCATGAGGATGCTCGACAGTGGAGGAAAACCTTTTAAAAATGTTAAAAAACTTCGCTAGGATGCTTATGTGATCTAGCATGCGTCCTCAGCTTTATTTAATTTGGTCTTAAAAAAAGTATTGGGCGATGCTTTAATGAATTTATAAAGAAAAGCTGTCCCTGCACGTGTTTGTGTGCTGTTTACGAGGTTGCTGCCTGAGCAAAGTTCTGGTTGTGTAAAATCACTCTATGTCACTGGTTGCAAACCTGGCGGCGGTTATTGCACAAAATGTTGCTTCAACTTCACATATAGAAGAACTGTGTCAACATTTCGAACATCACTTAAAAAGCTGTGACGGGCAACTAGTAGTGGTAGCACTGGTGTATCTCCACTGTTTGGCATGTCTCAAAATCACGAGTAAGAAGATTAACGAAACCAGAGGCGGTTAGTGGTTTCATAAACGTAGGACATTAGAATTTATGAGATGAGGTTTAATACGTAACCAACAATAACTGAGAAAGAGCATAACGTCATTAAGAATTGAACTCCCGACCTTAGGTATGACCCCGGTATGACGGATTTAACCTGTTATAGGTCATCTAGTTTTATTAATTAAACTACAAGGGAAGTCTTTCCTTATATAATTCGTTTTTCTATCAGTTTGTTTCAAAAGCGTCTTTAGTTACTGGATTTTGTGAATGTTTTTAACACTAAAACTAATATTAAAATAAATATTACTGGAAATCTTTTATAAGTATTTTTAATAGACCATATTTATGTAGTTTTTAAGTGAAACATAGAGTTTTACATTGGCAAGTTCAAGCGGATCCGATGTACTAGAGGTTTTTACATATCTCAGCTTGTAAGATTAGATAAACAGTCAAAATTTAGTTTTCAGCCCACAATGATCTAATTAGATCTACTTTTACTATCATATTTGCAGTTCCTTATGGAATCCTTACTATTTAAAATTTTATGCCATTGCTTTTTCTAATACGATTTCAATTGCTTCTAAATTACTAAATTTTTAAAATGCTAAGGAAGTTTGTAGGTTTAATATAATATAGATTTATGGCATATCCACTTATGTTCGTTCGGTCATGTTATTTAGTATAGAAAGAATAATTTGTTTTCTTTAGTTTTGTTTCTAATATCGAGACTACCTTTGTCCACTAATCATTACTTTTTCTTATCGAATTCTGTTAGCAAGGAAATTCCAGCAATAACCTTAAATTTTCTTGTGAAGCTGGAGATACAGCCTTAAGCAATGCCTTTGCAAATACTTCGTTAAAATCTTTTGGTAACTTTACTCCCATTTACCGATTTCAGTTCGTGTATAAAATAGTGAATATTGTAAAAAGGTCGGCCTTTCCTAAGAAGGGCGCCTTGTTAATGATGCCTATCGCCAAATGAGACTAGTGGTAAATCAATAATATATTAATTCTCCTTCTTTCGGAGTTAATAGAGCTGATATATTTACTAAACCACTTTTGAGGCAAACACGAAGCATTAACTACAACAAATTTTATGAAATACAAAATAAATTTACATAATTAAAAGAATAATTAATATAAACAAGGATAATTATTTTATTTAAAGATTTTGGCTATTATTTTTTTTTATTTACTCCAAAATATATTATAAAATTATTAGTATTAAAAGAGTAAGTGGTATCCCATATTTTCGTTCCTTTTATTTCGCGTTTTCTTATCTTATTTAATGGATAATATTGTGTCCTTAGGGTCTTAAAAATTACCACTTCGAAACCTACACGTCCGCAGACAAAATCAATCGGTTTATATAAAGGATTAACGTGTTCTATCCTGGTTAATTAACTAGGTGAAATTAAAGGAAAAAAGGCCGAGTTAAGGACTTCAGCCTTGTATTTTGAGTCGTAAAGACCTTATTAAAACTCACATTATGCTAAAAAGGTTTTAAAATATTTCTCTCACTTTATGTGTTAATTGTTTGTAGAAAGATGTTTCGTACCTTACTTTTTCTTTGGAAGTAATATAAATCCTAAGCCTGCTGCCACTTAAGAGTAATGAATAAACTGTTATTCAAAGAATTGCTACTTTAAATTCACCTGGATCTTACCTTATTTCAGAGTATTTATATTTAGTGTTATGTATCTTATAATGCTTTATTTAGAGCAAGGTAATAATAGAAAAGTAGTAAAAAAATTAATTGTTGAAATAAGTTAAAGGGAGTTAAGTTTACCCCAAAAAAAGATTGAAAGAGCTTTCTTGCCGTAACCAGGCAAGGACGTCTTTTATTATAAAGTTAGTTACATGTCGTCTAAATTCAACGTGCTACTTTTTGCTGAATTACTAGTTATCCCGTGTATATACGCCTTACAAAGCTTGACTAGTAAAGGAAACTGTGGGTCTATTAAGCATAGCGAGATGACGTTTTTTAAGGACAAATCATTTAAAAAAAAGAGTTCCAAATTTTTCTAATATTAAAATAAGTAGATGAAAAACTAATAGTATGCTATATAGTAATTCTTATTGTAATATGCTTGACTAAGTTGCATTATGATAAATCGCTTAACAAAATCTCCTACTAACTTAGATTACCTAAATAAAAATTGTTGCAATTTAAGTAGTTACTTTTAAATAAATACTAAATTAGAATAAAAAACGAGCATAATAAGTACCGCTTCTTCTTCAAATCCCATTTTATCTATATGCGTGGCAGCATCCAGAGCCTGACCTCGATATTTTTTAAGGAGACAGTTACTATTACTCAAGCACTACAGCAATACCGTTTTTAAAGTATTCTCCAAAGTGCACTGTTGTTTTTCAGAGTGATGGTCACCGACCTCAGTGGCACCCACGGATGCTGGGAAAGTAAGGTTGCCTGGTGCGTTGTTGTTAGTGTCATCAATACCGCTAATACTTTTCTCTTTTATAATAGAATTTATATCTGTTTCGCAATATGTTTGAGTTAAATAAAGTATTTCCTCTTTTTGGCACTCATAAAAGTTTAATATGGACTTCACGAGAGTAATGAACTCTAGGCAAAAAAAAGATCCACTCTTCCCGTTATTGCCTTGAAATCTGAACACGAACTTACGATCTAAACCTCTCTGAATTTAGTTGTGTAAATAGTTTAAACTGCGAGAAAACTTTATAAAAACGTAGTTTACTTTGTAAGTTATTCCCACAAGGCCGTCTTCAATATTTACGCAGGCCTCCATCATATTTTTAGAATTTACAAGGAAACAGCTTTCCTTAAATAAAAGAATAAAAAACATTTAGTCAAAATTGTTCTAATAACTAAAATATTTAAGTGGTTCTTAAATTTAATACGAAAAAATTACGTAGATCAACTTTTCCGAGTGAATAAGCATCTGCATGTGAGGAAGAACTGTCAAACTAAGAGGCTCCGAAAGAGAAGCAAAATCCTAATTTAGTGTAAGATAACTCTAAAAAATACGATATTAGTAATAATCTACCTTCCAAAAGCTTCTAGTGGTCAAAGGGTCCTTACAGTATTTTAAATATGAAGTTAGCTTCCAACACTGACTTAAAACAGAAAGTTTGCTGTTAGTGGGATGAAGCATTGGAATAAAATTGATGAACTAGTTACTAAATTGGAAACGCACCAAAGTTTTCGATTATTAATATAATTTTTATAACTTTTTAAACTTATAAAAATCACTAAATAATTTTCATTAATATGTTGGGCTCAATTCACAATTTACATGTTAACAGAAATCTTAAAATTATTATTTAGTCTTCGCAGCACTAAATCTAAATAAAGTGAAGAAAGACTTTAGTAAATTATAATAGAAAAATTATATTTAAAGTAAAACTAAAAGACATATTACATAACTTAAAATACATATATTAGATATTTACCATTATATATACTTATTTTTTAAGTAGGGTTTTTACCTATAAAGTTAGCTACTTTTTCTACGCACCCTTTACGATAAAAAACCCTCCTAAAATTAGCTGCAATTAGTAAGTTTGAAGCACAAATAAAAATTACAGCATGATAAAAAAAATACTTTATATATTACAGGCAATACCAAGTAAGGATTCACGTCGACCTTCAAAATATATAAATAATTTTTCCTTTAATAAATAGCTTTATATATTTTGATTTTTTATTTTTTACAGCTAACTTAAACTTTTACTAATTGTTTACACTATCTAGTAGACATTAATATTTTTTATTTATGCAATATCAGCCCAACTCTTTTCAACCCAAAACATGGAGTGGACACATTCTATGAGACTATTCCCAATGAAAACAGTGGCTAATTGCAATTTTTCTTTTTGCTAATGAATTGTGCAGATGCTCGGTAATATCAAGCGCAAACTGCTTGATCTCGAAAATAATTTATTTAAGGCTTAACTGTATTCGGATTCGGCAGGTCGTCACCTTACAATAAACTTTGTACATATGTGTATAAAGGTATAAAGAAAACTGTAATTGTGCGCTTAAAGCACAGCGCGACCTTCAAAAGCGTGAGCCTTTCCAGGGTTTGTGTGGAAGTTCTCGAAACTCTTGGCAGTATGGATGCCTACTAATACGTTCAAGAGAAACTGAAGTTGCATTTGGAAAAAACGCTTCAAGCCGTCATGAAACGTATCCTTACTCACGAAAAAAAGGTGCGCCGGTCATTAGTCGCAGGAGCTTGTTTTGCTGCATTTAAAGGGTGCAACCGTCGACGGTTTTTCATATGTCCATGCAACAGATGCGTAAGGCTATAATAATAGGGCGCTCGCATACTTTTAAAGGCGCAGTTTATTGGGCAGAATATTGTGCTTTTAGCGCACAGCTCGGGTAGAGTGCGTGAATTGCTGCTTTTTGACCTTAGCCTTAAGGAAATCTACGCGTTACCCCCAAGTAAGTGCTTATCGATGACGCTACCCAAGTACTAGGCCTAAGAGCCCCCTGGGATCTTAACCTCTTTGAGGGTTAGAGACCGGGGTATTGTGATGCTTCTTCTTAAGATGAGGATTGGTTTTCTCTTGGTTCTATTAATGTTTACTCCCCATAGTCGAGACCAATTATAAGGTTTCCAAATTACGCTGCAGGTGTTGCCGTATAATGAGGGGCTCTTTGAGGACGCGTAAACTGCTGTGCCAGCGGCGTAGAGTGCAACGCGGGTCACAGGGTCCGCAGGGAGGGGAATATCTCGCATGTATAGCGTAGCGCGAAGGATAGCGGCAAGAGCAGAGCCTTGCGGAAACACCCGCGGAAGTCGAAGGTGTATGGCGATAGCGCAGTCCCAACCCTCACTCGAAAGGTGTGTCCTGCAGAGAAACGACGCAAATATGCTGTAAGGGCTACGGAGTGCCTAATGTGCGTATTTTGTGAGGAGACCCTCGTGTCATACGCGGTCGAAGACCTTTTTAACGTCCAGAAAGATGACACCTGTGGATTTTTTAAACTTGTGTCGAATTGTCCACTCAACAGAGCGCATAAATTGTTGTAATGTCGAGTGGTCTGTTCGAACACCAACTTGGAATTCTAAAAGCACTTTGTGTTTCTACAAACTCTTCCAGCCTGTGTAGTCCCTCGGTTTTGCCCACCGTTGAAAGAGGGCTAATGGGTCGATATTTGCTGAGGTCTGCTGAAGTTCGCAGAGTCTTAGGTAACATCACGTAGTGGCCGTTTCCCAGTCGCGTTGGGAAGGAGCCTAGCGACCTTGCAGAAATTGCAACACAGGAGGGATCGCCACCGGCGGCAGCTTTTTTTAGCATTTCGTTAGTAAAGCCGTCAGGGCCGGGTGCTTTCCGTCTTGAAAGTGCAGAAACTACTTTAGTGGTTCCATCAGGTGAGCTCGGTTTGATAAACCCGTCAGCTATGTCCAGGGTTGGAGGGATGTTCTAACAAACATAGAGTAAGCGTTGACTACTTAAGAGATCCATGTCATTTCCTGCTTTACCTAAAAAAATTGGAGAACCTGGACTCGTTTCTACTATAAAACTTAGTAAAACGGCTGTTGGAATACAAATCATAATAAACAGTCTACACCCTAGGGTCAAGTCAAGAATGAAAAAGTTACCAGTGACTGCTTATAAGGTAAAAAAGAAAGTCACTCGTAACATTCATGAGCAAAATACATGATATACATGTGAGAAAAAGGGGTAACGAGTCTGTACACTTCCCAACCGGTTGAATCATTTCAAGTCAAATAAAGAGCTGTGCACATTTTAGGACTGTTACTTTGTATTGATGAAATCAACTTGCATGAATATTTAGCCATTACCCACTGGGTAGAATAATAAAATAAATACGATGTCATGCCATTAAAACAATATTACAGTAATAATTTAGAATACTTCGATCACCGTAATGCGCTGAAGGTTGCATTACAAGCGGAAACAGGCATTAAAGTCGAAAACAACTCGAATGCCCCATCCTAATACATCCTGTATTTAATTCCCTTACATAGGAAAACAGACTTTAAAACTTTAAGACGCAACCTCCCTCCTGCAAAGGCTGTCAGGGCCAGCATATAAGGTCTCACTCTCCCTAAATTAAGGAAACATCCAAATTTTGTGATTAAATTGACCGCATGCCTTAAGAAAAATGGTATAACTTAATTTATAACTCTCCGAAAATTGCGAACCCAGGGGAAAAGCTGGTCGTTTATGCCGGGCCTCTCCACATTTTATTATAAATAATGAGTTGGGACTGATATCCGATACGATATACACGTTATTAATACAATAATTGACAAAACTGAGGCCTACCAAGCTATTTTTTTTAATTTTTCGTGGATCTTGGTAACGATATTTATGACAAAAAATTAAAGCATAACCTGAACTCTGTAGGTAAAATAATTGGAAAAGGATTTGATATCTGTTTCATAATAAAAGAATTTTATGATTAAAAATTCTTGCTCAAGGTAGAAAATAGAGTGACTTATTTCTTATAAACTCAAGTTCATTATTCCCGCAGAGCACTTTAAATACGGGCAAATTAGCTATCTTTACTTGGAAAGAATTTTCCTGATACATCATATTTTGAAAAACCAAAACTGTGGAATTTGCGAAAAAAAGTGAGTTGACGAAGGAGAAAGTTAACAAAATAATTGAAATTAACAATTAACATAATTCAGGATAATTGATTTTTATTGCCGGACATACCGTCGTATGAGGGAAAAGTTTGTTAGAATCGCAACGGACACTAGATCTTAATGAGTCACCATTACCTATGCGAATTCTAAACATAAAATAAAAAAGGAAAAAAAAAATAAAAATAACTGGAATCCTCTCATATATTGTAATTAAAAAAGTAAAAATTAAAAGAGCAACAAATTCATTGATGTTAAGAATTACAAAATACAGATGTTAAAATGTCAACAGTACCTAAAGATAGACCGCAATACAAGCCGAAGTGAGAGAAGCTTTTAAATGTTGTGTAACATAACGCGTTGCATATTGAAAGATGCCAAAGCAATTGTTTAGGAGCGAAGATTTATGTGACGCAGTTCACATATTACACTACTTTCCAAAAGGAATAAAATACGACGCTTATTAAAACTTTAGGATTTAGATTCAGCGGTCTAAATTATTATAAACCTATAGATTTAAATGACAGTTTCAAGACCCTGGAATAAAAAAAATCTTATTGTTGAACTCTTAATGGCATTGTTTTTTCCAAACCGATAACGTAAACTAAGGATGAATATACTAAACTTAATTTAACAACTGGGAAAATTGTAAAATTTACAGACAGTGTACCCTTTACTTTGGTAAATACCTTCATCTCTCTTAAAGTATGACGAAGATTTTTTCAAGGTCAACAACTTTCCAAGACTTCTATTGGTACTACTATGCAACCTTATGCAGACCATACAGCAAGGGAAGCAACTTGAGATAAAAATATTTTTGAAGGATTAGACAGTTCATAATTTCAATTCTAAAAGCAACATCTAAAAA